TGGGGTTTTGGTTTAGCTTCTATATTTGTACCAATGTTTCAAACTGCAAGCTCAGAGGCCGGGCAGCAGCAGGCGGGGGAACCTGGCTTCTCTGTCACTGGAGCAAGCAAGCCTCCCTGTTCGCATCAGCTGCCTGGCTGCCGGCCGCCATCTTGGCTGGCAGTTAATTTGCATAAGGATATGCTGATTAGCCAATGGGAAGGGTAGTGGAGGTATGGCTAATTACCATGTTTCTTTTTTATTAGATAGGATATATATATATACACACACACATATATATATACTAGAGGCCCGTTGCAGGAAGATTCCTGCAAGAATAGGGCTTACTGTGGCTGGAGGAAAGCAGAGAAGGGAGCAAAACCCGCTGAGGCGGGCTTCGCTCCCGCCCCCAGCTGCTCCAGCTGGGTGAGTTTGCGCAACCCACCCCCAGCCGCTGCTGCTGGGTGGGTTTGCCCAACAGGCCCCCAGCCGCTGCTGCTGGGTTTTCCCAACCCGCACCCAGCCGCTGCTGCTGGCTTTTCCCAACCTGCCCCAACTGCTCCGGCTTGGTGGGTTTTCCCAATCCGCCCCCAGCTGCTGCAGCTGGGTGGGTTTGCCCAACCTGCCCACAGCCACTGCTGCTGGGTTTGCCCAACTCGCCCCCAGCTGCTGCAGCTGAGTGGGTTTGCCCAACCCGCCCCCAGCCACTCAGTCTTGGTGGGTTAACCCAATCCTCCCCCAGCTGCTCCGTCTTGGTGGGTTTGTCCAACCCGCCCCCATCCGCTCCAGTTTGATGGGTTTGCCCAACCTGCTCCAAGCCGCTCCATCTTGGTGGGTTTGTCCAACCCACCCCCAGCCTCTCAGTCTTGGTGGGTTTGTCCAACCTGCCCCCAGCCTCTCAGTCTTGGTGGGTTTTCCCAACCCACCCCCAGCCGCTGCTGCTGGGTTTTCCCAACCCACCCCCAGCCGCTCCGTCTTGGTGGGTTTTCCCAACCCGCCCCCAGCCGCTCAGTCTTGGTGGGTTTGCCCAACCCGCCCTGAGCCTCTGCTGCCTGGTTTCCCCTCCCATTCCCAGCCGCTGTGGCTGGGTTTCCCCTCCCGCCTCCTGCCTCTGCAGCCTTGGCTCCTTTACTGTGTCCGCGGCCTCTACTTTGCTCCCTTCTATAGCCCTTGGCTTCCATGTTGTCTTCAGTCTTTGCTCAGAGCCGGTATATGCAAATTAACCGCCATCTTGGCTGACAGTTAATTTGCATATACTCACTGATTAGCCAATGAAAAGGGTAGCGGTCGTACGCTAATTACCATGTTTCTCTTTTATTAGTGTAGATATTCATATATATATATGAATTATATATACCTGTGTATAAATATAGGGCATCACTAAAATATGTATATACATTTTAACAGCTGATAGCTCAATTTTGAAAATGAGTTGTATTTTAATAAACACTGTCTTTATAATTATTCAAAATGTGTGTATACATTTTTTGTGACATCCTATATATACACATATACCACTTTTGTTGCTTTATTCATTTAGCCATCAATGAACACTTATATTGTTTCCATATTTTGGCTATTGTAAATAATGCTACAATGGTCATCGGGTACAGACATCTTTTTGTGTCAGTGTTTTTGTTTTCTTTAGATAAATACCAAGTGGGATTGCTGGATATTATGATAGTTCTATTTTTAGTTTTTTTGAGAAATTTCCATTTTATTTTCCATAGTGACTACACCAATTTACATTTCCACCAACAGTACATAAGTGCTTCTTTTCCTCTACATCCTCATACAACACTTTTTAATTTTTTTATCTTTTTTTTTTCATAGTCATTCTAACAGGTATGAGGTTATATCTCATTGTGGATTTTGATTGGCATTTCTCTGATGATTAGCAACATTAAGCAACATTTTATGACCTGTTGGCCATCTGTATGTCCTCTTTGGAAAAATGACTATTTAGGTCTTCTCATCTTTTTAAACATATTTGTAATTCAATTTTATTTTTTAATTAAACTTATTGGAGGTGACATTGATTAATAAGATTATATAGGTTCAAGTGTACAGTTCTGTGATACATCATCTGTATATACTGTATTGTGTGTTCACCACCCAAAGTCAAATCTTCTTCCATCACCATATATTTGACCCCTTTTACTGTTTACCCCTCCCACTTCTCTTTCCTCAGATTACCACTATACTGTTGTCTTTGACTATAAGTTTTTGCTTGTTTGTTTATCTTGTTTTTTCATGTGTTATTTTCAGTTTTATATCCCTCATATGGATGAAATCACATTATTCTTAACTTTTTCTTTCTGACTTATTTCCCTTAGCATGATATTCCCAAGATCCACCCATGTTGTCACAAATGGCAGTATTTCATTTTTTCTCATGGCTGAGTAGTATTCCATTGTATATATGTACCACTCCTTCTTTATCCAATCATTTATCGAAGGACACTGGTTGTTTTCATGTCTTGGCCACTATGAATAATGCTGCAATCACCATAGGGGTGCATATATCTTTGTGAATAAATGTATTCAAATTTTTCGAGTAGCTACCCAGACAGGGGGTTTCTGGGTCATATGGTAACTCTATTCTTAATTTTTGGGAACCTCCATACACTTTTCCATAATGATTCCCACCAGCAGTGAATCTCTCCAACACTTGTTATTACTTGTCTTATTGATAATAGCCATTCTAATAGGTGTGAGATGATATCTCATTGTAATTTTAATTTGTATTTCCCTAATTGCTAGTGAAGTATAGACAGTATGTTAATTTTGATTAAAAAGTATTCTCAATATTTCTGTTTTTCTTCTTAAGAACTGCACAGTGAATCCAATGGAAAGTATCCTGAAAAGAGTGCAGGATATTGGATACATATTTAAAGAGAAGTTTGCTAAAGCTGTGGGACAGGGATGTATAGAAATTGGATCACAGGTAACTATAATGTTGATTACTGTTGTTATATTTCAAATGCAACATCTGTTCAAACTGTATAAGTATTATTATGGTATTTGTCCAATAGTATAAAATACTGACACATAATATATCTCCGCTGCTCAACTATGCTGCTATTATGGAAAACTTTATGGGAAAATACCCTTCACTCCTATAAAAAACAAAAGTAAACATGCAGAAAATTTTAGAAAAAGTGTAGATATTTAAAAAAAATCAAGGAAGAAAAAAGTTTTTTAAAAATCTTTGATACTATTAAATACTATTGCACATGCTTTGACTTCTACATTTAGGAATAGTTCTGTATGCATATACTTGTATGGGATGGGATTATGTTGTACATGCCATTTATCAGTAATATTTTTAATACTGCTATTATTATTTCAGAAAATTTAAAAGTAATATGTTGGATAAGAGTATGGGCTCTGGATCAGAACCATCTGGTTCTACCATTATACTCCGTCACTCAACTTCTCTGAAAATCAGGTGTGTTTTTCTGTTGTTTTTTAAAAAATATTTCATTGATTTTAGAGAGGAAGGGAGAGGGAGAGATAGAAACATCAATGATCAGAGAGACTCATTGATCGGCTGCCTCCTGCACATCCCATACTGGGAATTAAGCCTGCAAACTGGGCATGTGCCCTGACCAGGAGTCAGACCTGTGACCTCCTGGTTCATAGGTCGATGCTCCACCACTAAGCTACACTGGCTGGACTGAAAATCAGGTTGTTTATTTACTGTGCTTCATTGTGACATTAATGAGGTAATACATAAAGATATATATGAAGACTGTATTCTACTATACACATTTATTTCAGTGTAGCGAGTTTATATTTCGATGCCATGAGTATTTTAAACAATTATATTTAATATTTAATTGAATTTATTGGGGATGACATCTACGTAATAAAAACCCAGTGTTCGTAACGCCTTAACGAACCAAGACTGGTCACCAGGAGGTGACTTGACGCTGCATCCCATGGCACGCTGGGTCTGGGTCTCACGCACTTTGGCGCGCTGGGCCCCTAGTTGTTTAATAAAATGATATAGGTTTCAGGGGATAATTCTATAATACATCATCTGTATATTGAGTGTTCACCACCCAAGTCAAGTCTCCTTCCATTACCATTTATCCCCCCTTTACACTCTCCTACCTTCAAAGTTCTTTTTGTTTGTATATGAAATTTATGCTCATAATTTGAAATGAAGCAATATGGCTTGTGTGTGAGTGTGTGTGTGTCTTCATGTGTGTATCTCTCAAATTTGATTATTCTTTGAGCTAATGGGAACTAGTTTTTAGGTTAAAATTTTTTGCTGATAAGATCAGTGAAATTTGATTTGTGCCTTTGCCAATTTTATGGACAGAGTCTATTTTGTCATCCTGGACAGCTATCTTGAAAATACATGGTCTAGGTCACAAAAAGTATTACATTAGTATGTAAAAATAGTACTAGGCACATAACATTTTATATATATAATCTGTTGAATGATATAGACTGAAGTGGTATGAATGAAAACAAAGACCTCCCTCTTGATAATTTATTGGGAATGTTAGCTATCATTTATATTTAAGTGTTGAGTTTTAGACAAGCTACCTTTCCTAATCTCTTGGTAGTCATATTCCTAAGAAGGTTCAGAAATGTGTTTCAAGGAAAATTTTAAAAAGATTAATAATTGTTGTAATTTTCTAAAGTAGTGGGATATAATTATTTTTCTTTATTTATAGCGATACAAACTTGGAGTTCGGTTGTATTACCGAGTAATGGAATCCATGCTTAAATCAGTAAGTTAAAAAGAAAATAATAGGAAAAAATTTCAATGTCAACGTAAAAAAGGTTTCAGTTAAACATTTTTTTTAAATTTATTTTTGTTGAAAGTATTACAGCAGCGGTTCTCAACCTGTGGGTCGTGACCCCTTTGGCAGTCAAACGACCCTTCACAGGGGTCACCTAAGACCATCCCTGCATATCAGATATTTACATTACGATTCATAACAGTAGCAACATTAAAGTTATGAAGTAGCAACGAAAATAATTTTATGGTTGGGTCACAACATGAGGAACTGTATTTAAAGGGCCAGAAGGTTGAGAACCACTGTATTACAGATATCCCCTTTCCCCCCACTATTTACCCCCGCTCCACCCAGCTCCTGCCCCCTCCCCAGGCCTTTACCACACTATTGTATGTGTCCATGGGTTATGCATATCCTATATAATAAAAGCCTAATATGCTAAGTGTCCGGTTGTCCGTTCAACCAATCAAAGCGTAATATGCTAATGATATGTTAAGGCCTCTCAACCGCTCATTCTGATATGCACTGACCACCAGGGGCCAGTCGGCCTGTCGACCAGTCACTATGACGTGCACTGACCACCAGGGGTAGTCTCTCCTACTGGTAGGTGAGCTTGCTGCTGGGGTCTGGCTGATTGGGACTGAATGAGATGGGCCGGACACACCCTGGCCAACCTCCCGTGTCCCTCTCCAGCCCCGATTGTGCACCGGTGGGGTCCCTCAGCCTGCCCTGCACCCTCTCACAATCCAGGACCCCTTGGGGGGAGGTCTAAGAGCTGGTTTAGGCCCAATCCCACAGGCCAGGCCGAGGGAGACCACTGGTGCACAAATTCGTGCACCCGGACTAGTATTCATATAAGTTCTGTAGTTAATCTCATCCCATGTCCCTGCCTCCCTTAGATTCCTCGGTCTGTTGCATGCTTCCATGTCTCTGGATCTATTTTGTTTGTCAGTTTATTTTGTTCATTAGATTCCACATATAAGTGAGATCATGTGATACTTGTCTTTCTCTGACTGGCTTGTTT